AGGCATATTCCATATTGTATATAACAGCAAATGCCAATTGAAAAACTGTGAGATTTGTGCATAGAGCAAATTTAAAGTCACTCTCTAGTGACTTACTGACAGAGACTGCGCATGAGCGCCCACAAGTGAGTCGGTGTCAGGCTGGGGTCCTCATCTCTCCCTCCCACCAGACAAGCTTGAACAGTGATGCCCAAACGGCTTTTTGTATCACAATTTCCAACCACTGACTACTTAGTATCTTGACCAATTGCAAATGACGTCTCCCACCCTTGCTCTTGAAAGAAGACCTGAGAAAATAGCACTAGTGCCAAAACAAGCTGGGCAACAGCACTTGGCTACAGCTCGCAGCACATTCACGCACCTGCCTGTGAGGTTCTGGGATACCAATCCCATAACTCTGTGGGTCTCGGCAGATCAGGCACGTCGGGTTTTTATTTCCTTTCTAATAAAAGTTTAAAGAAAAGGGAGAGGGCAACTGATTATGCTCAGGTTAGGCTTAGTCTGGTGAAAGAGCTCCTCAATAAAACCTAGTTATTTTCCTAAGCCTTTCACCCCCGCCCCGCCAACTACGGTTTCTGCGAGTGAAATGTCTGCATTTGTCAAGCCCTTTCAGGAAGCTGACACCTTCGGCACATAAAAGCCAGGCTCTGGCCTGAGCCCAGCCTCTTATTCTCCTGCATGAGAAAGGCAAATATCAGACATTTTCGATGATGGTAACCTTCCGTACAGCACTAGAAAAGAGTGGGTAGGCGAGAAGACCAAGGCAACAAGAAAAAAGTATGCTTTTGTCCCTAGGCTTCTTTTTCGTAGCAACTACATTGGCTTCAGCTGGATAACAAACTGTCCTGGAATTCTTGGCGACAGAGCAAACATGTCAGCTCCCTGGTTACGCCTTCGTCACTGCTCAGAGTACCACACACTTTAACCTCCCTGCTCTTTCCATAGGCCTGGGTTTGTCCCGTATCCAGGAAACTTTATATGTTGTCTAAACCGACCATCCCGGCAGGCTGCAGGGCAGATGGCAGCTCAGGATTCCAAATGTTGACCAACTCCTACCTGGATCCACACCACCAAGCTGTAGCTCAGCCTGCCTGTGCAGAAATAGGAGCCCAGCTACATGGCTAACCGCTTTTTTAACTGCTACTCTCAGCAGTGAGGAACTTCCCCAGCAGAGAAGATTCAGAAGGGAACTGAAAAGAAAGCAATGTCAAGATTTACCTAACGGGATACACAGGTTTGACCAGGTACGCAAGCCAATTAGGTCCAAGGCTCAACTCAGCTGGGAGCTGAAAGACCAGGTGCTGCACACCTGCCCCCAAGTCCTTGGACCTCAGGTCACCAGCCCAGGATAATATATGGAGGGACAAGACCCTGCTACAGATCTGCTTTCATGTCATTAGATTCTCCTAAGAGGCTTCAGACTTCAGCCGAGAAGCCAGCCAGGACATGCCTAAGGTAGCAGCTGAACCACGTCATTCAGTGCAGATCATGCAAAGAGCGAGGTAGAGTGTAGAGTATGACACTGTGTAAAAAGAAATGGAAGGAAGGGGTAGAAATTATATATGCAGAAGCCATCTCTGCAAGGGAACACGCCTGGCAGCACTCTCTCGGGAGGGGAGCTGAGCAGCTGGAGGAAAAGGTGGAAGACTTTACTTTGGCAGCTTTTGAATTTTGAACCACATGAATGTATAACCTTTCAAAGAACAAATTAATATTAAAATGCAGAATGCTGTAATCATTTTGTTATAAAAAGACAAATGCTCTATAAATCTGCATGTATGTATTAAAAAAAAACCTTCTGGAAGAATACATGACTGTTACCTCCAGGTTCCTCCTGGGGGATGGAAATAGAGAGTCTGAACAGATGTTCGTGTTTTGTTCCACACAATCAGTATTGTTTTGTTTCCAAAAGACAGTATTACTTTTGTAATTTTTACTTAAAAATAAACATCTTTAAGAACTACAACCTCACCCCCAAAAAGAATCCGCACTCGTTCTGTCTCACGCTGCCCAGTCACATCTTATCTTGTGTCACAATTACTCGGGTGCCGGTCCCATCTCTGTTAAATGATGGGGCAACTGCCACCGCAGCCCGTCTACCAGTCAAGCTCCACCTTCCAGGGACAGACGCTGTGGGACAGACCCTGCATGCACGAAAACAGCAGTCAAGATGGCAACAGAGCAATTACACGAGGACAAAGTGATCAGCCAGAGCAAGAGTGGACAATAATCTTGTTATGTAAATTAGCACAGGACTCTTAGCAAAGGGAAACCTTGACCATGTCAAAACAACACTGGAAACAGAGTCCTTCCCAGAAACTGTGGGAATTCCAACACTGCACGTGAGCTGGGAGCTTGGTGAAATTGCCAAGCGAAATGGGCCAGGCAGATTTCTCAGAAATCAGTAAATTCCTATTGGATATGTTCTTTGTTTAGCAAAACTGCAGAAGGGCCTCTGAGTGTTGAGAGGCTCCTTCCAGGACATGGCTTGAACAGATAAAGAATCTGAATTTCTCTGCAAAATAAAAGTGGACAGTTTGAGTTTCAGGGGGAGTGGGAGGCCGTACTAGAAAAGCAAAGGTCATGTGAGGTAGTCCAGAGAGGACTCAACACTAGACAGACTGTGCTGAGAAACAGAGCTTCTGGGAAACTGAGAAATTCTGGGAAGAGGCAATGCAATGGAGAGCTACGTCTCCATTTCAAGCTATTTACTCTGAAGTAATGTAATCCCTCTTTGTTGTCTCTAAAAGACCGTCATATATCACCACCCTGCCAAGGGAGTGTCCAGAGAAGATAATCCAGAATGAAGTGAACGAGAGGAAGGGATCCCACAGGTCCACAATTCTCAACAGTGCTCTTTCCAAACCCCTCAACTTGAGGGCCAGACTTACTCTCCTACCTGAAACAATCAAAAACAAAAAATGGACAACGAAAAAAACAATACTAGATGGAAGTATTTGAGTGACAGTGACCTGTTAGAAGGAAAAGGCTGGTATAGGTAGGGAGACAAGCTACACAGAACAGACAGAGGGAGGATCAAGAACTGAACAGAAAGTGGAAAAACTAAAGCTAGAGGTGGCCAGAAAAAAAAGAAAAATGAAGCCCTGCCCCCGCCCCCCCCCCCCGCAAGAATCCACAAGGTATGAGGACTGGGGTAGAAGCAGCTTTTTCAGATTACAAGGGACAGAGAACTCCGTCCGTTTGGGGCTGATACCTGGGTGCCCTCCTCAACTCCCCTCTTTCTCTTACTCTCCATGTCCAATCTGTCAGCAAGTACTGCCAGCTACAGCTTCAAAATACATCCAGAATCCAATCGTTTCTCACCACCTCCACTTCTACCACACACGCCCAAGCCACTACCAGCTCTCGGACAGCACCAAGAACCTCCTCAGCCTCCCTGTTTCCCACCTCCCAAGCCCCGGCTCTCCGCCCTCGTCTTGTCTCCACACAGCACTCAGGGGAACATTCGTCACCTGACGGAGCAGGACAGTTCCTTGGCTTATTAACTGTCTCCCCTTGTAAAAGGTAAACTCAATGAAGACGAGGTCTTCTATTTTTGTTCACTACTGTATTCCCAGAGACTAGCACAACACCAAGTTATATATAGTTGGCACCAATTATTTGTTAAATGAACTACATAAGCAGCTATGAAACTATAAACCATACACATCAAGGCAGTAAATAAAGGAACCATATCTTGCATCATTTTGTGGGCCTTCAGGAGGCCCAGGGATCTGCAAATCATGTCTGGCTGAATCTACAATGGCTTATACATAGCGCTCACTGAATGAATAAACAAAAGGAATATAAAACAGGTTTAATATTACATATGGAGCCTAGGACTTGGCCTGGGCAGAATATGTCTGGTACAGAGCAGAGTTCATACATAATGTCAAGTCCAAAAGAAAATACACTATTCAATATGGACCTAGCAAATTCTGTGCCAGCTACAAGAAATATCAGAGGTAACTACGATAATCTTAGATATCTGTGTCTCTAATGGTTTGTAAACAAGTACAAGTAACTCAGTAGTGTAACTGCTGTACTACAGACATGCATAAGAAACATTTGGTAGGCACTAGAAGAGACCATCCTTATCTGGGGAGGTCAGATGGTCGAGGAAGGATTTATGAAAACAAAATTTCTTGAGCTGGGTCTTAAAGTTTATCAGATAAGAAAAAAGCACATTTAGGAACAAAGGCACAGTCTGTGCGAAGGTGTAAAGTCCATGACTGTCTTCCAGAACAGTTCCTGGGAAGGAGTCAGTAACTCTGGAAGGATATTCTGACATAGGAGAGAAAAAAGCTACAAACCATTTTCCTTTACGGACAGAGCCTGCGCTTTTAAAAGCTCCTCAACCCTCCTCTCAAAGTGCCCATTTCCCCAGTAAGATGTGGCCTCCTCCAAAGGGGCTTAGCAAATTTTAAGACATCAAATAACAAAAACAGAGAGGGGAAAAAAACCATATTTATTCTAGTCTGGATTACTGGAAGACTTAAAATGTGTGCCGCACGGCATTCCCTGTTACTGTCAGCAGGATAAGGGGAGAACATGCCTTAGCGGCAGCTCCGCCCACAGCTGGCCCATGGCTACTGTGAGTTCCCATCGGTCCCTGCAGTCTTCCCCTTCCTGTGCAGTCACTGAGGCTTCCCCCTCAGAGCAAAGGGCTCCTTAACTCTAAATTTGTTTTGTGCAGAGAAAAGAATCTGATATACCGATGGTTCCTCATCAAAGCCATTAAGTTAAATCCTATCTCAATATTTAACTATCTTTATTTTCTGATTTAAAATAGAAAAAAAGGGGGGGGCAGGGAGTTAGGGAAGGGGGAAGGGAAATTACACGGTACTGATATAAAGACTTTAAATTCTAGTCAAAGTTAAAACCCATTTTAAAGGTCAACTTTAAAGGATGGTTCAAAGGAAAGAGCGACATGGAGTCCGACTGAGACATACATGAGTTGAGTCTCATTAATGCAGGTCAGCATTCCCAACGCAGCCAGAGCCAGCAGTTGTTAGGTACGCTCTGTCAGGCACGGGCAGGCAAAAGTCTGAAGAAATGGGCTCTCTCCATGCCCCTGTGCCAAAGAAAGAAGGTTCCTGGTTTGATGGAAAATGCAGCTCCTTTCCTAGGTTGTGCCTATAGTTCGCAGCTGAGTTCAGCAGTGGAATCGAGTGGAGAACTTGGGAGATACAGGCACAGTCAGAGGCTGGTCACTTGACTTTATCTCCACACCCTGGTACTTGCGTATTGGATTTGCCTTGTGCACCTGCAAAGGAAGGGAAATAAAGTTACCGCTGATAAGGATGTTAGATGTTAGAAAACTACACTTAGAGTTGGTTTTATTTTTCCCTTGAGAAAATGTTTGCACAGCTTTACAGGTCCCAGTCACTTACTCAGAGAGGTGGGGAAAAAGGCAACACAGTATGATGGAAAAGCTTGAGCTCTAGAGCCCAACTAGGTTTCTATTCAGGTCTTGCTGGATCCCTCAGCTTATACTAAAGAATGTCAAACCTATCTCCAGTTTGAGTGTTTATTATTAGGGTGCGATAAGGCTGCACTCAATTTCAGCAGAGAAGAGATACATGTTAAAAACTGGCTAGAGTACAGTCTCAAGCTTCCTGAGTCTTAATATAACCAAAAGCACAGACCAAAAAAACAAAAAACAAACAAACAAAAAAACCCCGAAACAGTAACTAGGAAGGGTTGCTGGGTGAATGCCTGGTCCCCTCCATCCTTCTGAGCACTCTCTCATCAACCCTAAGGCAAGCCAGAGTACAGGGAGCTACCGGCACTGCCGGGGCTGGGCCACACTGAGACCCGCTGTAAGGGACCGTTCCACGATGGGGACAAACACAAGAAAAAAGCACCACGTGTTGAAGAAAAATCAAAAAACCCGAGGGCAGAAAAAGGTTTGGTTTTGTGAGTCTATCTGGAGTGGGGATTACATTGCTTTTTTCATTCAGTTGGAAAATAGCTTGATTTTTGCGGAGAAGCTAGTCCCTCGAACAGTTTATCCTGAGAGCCATCCCGCGGCCGGTCACCTCTGCGAACCGCTGCATCAGCTGCTAGCTTAGCACTTTTAGACGAAACCTCAACAACTTATGTATTTCTATATTCCCTTTTATTAATCATATGAATGAAGTTCATCTAAAACTGGCCTTTTCCTCTTTGATGCAGTTAACATGGCTTGCTGCCCTCCATTAATGTGAATCAAGCTTCCTTTTGGGTAACTAATATTTAAACCATTAAGCTTGTGTTAGCAGAGTCATGGGGATCGACATGCACTATGACTCCAAGGAATCTGAGTCAAGTACTAGGAGGAAAGTGAAAATACAGTTCCTGCCCAATTCTCATGTCCTTCCCTAATATTTTTGTCTAATTGTAAAATACATTGGTTTTCTTAAGCCTTAAGGAAATAATAAAAATAAGTTAAATAATGTATCATTGTGTACATTATGATTTCCTCCACATGAAGACCTTTGATAGAAATTCTGTCTGAATTCAATACTAAGAAGAAATGCATTTTTTTTTTGTAACTGACATAGTGGTTCCTAAAAAGGGCCAAAATTATGACTCAAACTTAGCAGATACATGTATCACAATGTATACATTTTAAGCTTCATTCACATCTCAACTTTGTCACCACCTTGATTTGTGAGATGTCCTGCTTTCACTCCTCTTTGATGTCCTTATAGCCCCCTGAGATCCTTTCTGGGCCGAGAAAAAATGCAGCTAAAACAAAACAGGGGCAGCCAAGGGTTAGCCAGCAGCCCGGCAGCCCATTACCAGTTCTTTCCGGAGCCTGGCCAGCTCCTTCCGCTGCTGCTCTTCCTCCTGCTGCCTGGCCTCCTCCAGCTGCTGCACCCTCTGGGCTTCTGCCTCGGCCATTCTCTTCTCCAGCTCTTGCCGCTCCTTGGCTCTCTTCTCAGTGGCCAGCTGAAAAGGTTCCTGAACTAGAGAACCAGAAAGGCCCTCTGAGTACAGAAACAGAGAGAACATTGGTACTCGAGCAGGACTTGCATACCCCTGGCCTACAGATCCAGCAAGAGGCACAGACATGCATGGCAAGAGAAAGGCTGAGCACTAAGGGAGACTTGTGGAAAGAAAGGTGGAGTAAACAACACACAAAGTCTTAGAATTTTCAAACTTTGAGGGCCCTTGGAAATTAACCAATTAGGAGAAAAGCAAGACCCATGCTGGTCAAGTAGCTTGCTTAAAGCCACATAGTGATTGTGAGACAGATAGATTTAGAAGAATCCCCATTTTCTGACATCCTGCCCAGTGCTTAAGGAATCAAATGTTTTGTAGCCAAGGCTTGCTTCAGAGTGAACCCCAGAAAGAGGTCCTGGCTCTCCCTCCCTCACTTGCTGGTTACTCTTTAGGTGGGCAAAGCCTGTAACTGTTATTGAAATGCCAGCTGCCTTTGCCCAGGCTCTTGCTCTCTGAATCTGGTCCCAACACATTCTGCAAATCAACCTGGCTGCTGGGTTCAGCAAAGGCCAAAGACCAGGCCTGGGGGAAGAAACACGAGACCCTCTACAGGCAAATGCTTCTGGATGGCACCGCATCACACAGACACAACTACTGAGTCCCAAGCAGTTCCCTGGGAAGTCTGACAATGCTGCCCCCCCCGCCCCCCGCCAAAAATACATATAATACTACCAGCTACGGATTTTTTCTCTTTCTTGGGAACAAAGGGCTCCTGGGAGATGACGGTGTTTGGACGAGCCTTGAAGCACGCTGCTTCCTTCTGCTGTCTCAGTTCCTCCTCCAGCTGTTAGGAAGAGAGTCTGTCAGACCACTGGCCACAACCACCAGCTCCATGACTCACGTTCTAGTGTTTCTAACTGTACCATCAACAAAGGCAGCGATGATTTAATCTAATCCCCAGTCAAAACCCCCTTTACAATGAATAGAACATTTAAATCCACTGAGGACTAGAAAGCATCTTTAAGATACAGTTGACCCTTGAACAGCACGGGGATGAGGGCACCAATTGCCCACACAGTTGAAAATCTTCCTGTAACTTTCGACTCCTCCCAAACTTACCCCCTAATAGCATACTGTTGCCTGGAAACCTTACTGATAACATAAATAGTCAATTAACATATATTTTGTGTGTATTATATACGATATTCTTACAATTGATTAAGCTAGAGAAAAGTAAATATTAAGAAAATAAGGATGAGAAAATACACTTACAGTTTTTACTGAAAAAAATCCCCATGTAAGTGGACCCATGCAATTCAAATACATGTTGTTCAAAAGTCAGCTGTAATTTTAAGGCCTTATCTTAACACCTCCCCAAAAGTAGACATGATATACTCCTAGGTGTGATCAATTATAAAGTATTCTCCCTCCCAATCCCAAAAAAGAAACTAACCAGAATTTAAATAAGGTTCTTGACATAACTATTCATCTAGAGGAAATACAGTATATAGAAGAACATATTAAATAACGCCATGGGAATGCAATGACCAAAATCCAGATTATAAAAAGCCTATGGGACAAACAATCCAGTTTATTCAACCTATAAAACACAAGCAGACGAGCCTATAGATTAAAAGGAATTTAGCGATTTATCAAATGCTATATGTGGACCTTATCTGGATCTTGATTTGAATTCAACTATTTTTTAAAAAATTTGAGATATTTGAGCACATATGAATGCTATTTGTCACTATTAAGGGATTACCTATGTTTTTACTACAATAATAGTATTGTGGTTATTTTTTTTAATCCTTAAATTTTAAAGCTACATACTGAAGTATTTTTAGATGAAATGAGACGATACCTAGGATTTGCTTCAAAGTAATCATGTGTAGGTAGAAGTATCCAATATAGAGATAAGTAGATCGAACTACAGGTGAAATAAGATTTTCTATGTTTTGATCACTATAGAACCAGGGTACAGGTTCATGAAAGTTCATTACACTATTCTACTTTTGTATGTCTGAAAAAGTTTAAAAAAATTTTTTTTTACTATAGAAAATACCTCCCACAGACATTCTGTGTCATGGTCCTTGAAAGATTCACTTGTACTTTCAAAGCAACAATCCTAAGTTTTCCTAGAAAACACACCAATGGGGCCTGCACTCAGTCACGTTAGCAGTCACATTTCTTTGGCTTCAAGAGGGGTAACTTCCTATAAAAATTAGCCCAAAGTCACTTTTGAACAGAACCCAAGATAAGTGACAATATAAAAATACTGACAAACTTAGGAATTCAGGAAAAATTTTTTCTAGATAGGGCAGAATTAGATTCCAATTAAACTGGTCAAAACCAATTAATTGTTTTTAACTACTCCTCTTTTATAAAGAGCAAACAGCACACTATGTTGACAAAACAGCATACCTTATCAAGAATCTATTCTCACCATACTATTTCTTATCAAAGCACCAAGAGAAATGAATGCACTTTTAATAAACAACTCTAATGGATAAGATCTTAAATAAACTCCTGATGCAAAAGATGTCTATAGTTCTCACATTCTCCAAGTGAGCACCAAGAGCAGAAATCAGCAAACTTCAGCCAGCTTGCAGCCTCTTTTTGCACAGCCCTTGAGCTAATAATGATCGCCACAATCTTGAGAGTTGAAACACACACACACTACATGACAGATCACATATAGCTTCCAACACCTAAAATACGTATTTACTGTTTTTTCTTATAGAAAAAGTTTGCTGACCCCTGACTCTGAAAGCGGAGACTCTGAAATAATCCAATGTGTTAGTTCCTAAATGACTTTCAATGTAGCAGGTCTACCCATCCTAACAAACCACCACACAAGCCATTAACATCTTAGCTGCTCTCCCAACCCCTCACCTGATGCTTCCAAGTCTGTGCCTTTAGAGCACCTCTTTTGTCAGTCTCCAAGCAGAAAGGCTCAATCTGGGTTGCATTCTTCACCTTCTTCTCTGGCAGGTTAACAGTGTCAAAATGAGGCAAAGGAAGTGCCTTGAACTTGGGTACCTGATAGAAAAAAAAGCAAGATTTAAGATAAGGCCTTTCTAGCCAGAAAGCAATAGCTGTACCAGAATACTTGGATGATTTTAAATCTAAAAAATAGGAAAGGCCAGTTTTAGAGCAGTATGACATAGCAGAAAGAATAACGGGCTTAAAAGGAAACCTTGGTTTTCCTCCCAATATTGCCAGCAATGGCAAGATAAACACGGGCAAGTCACTTAAACCTCCTTGTGCCAGAAAGGCTATTAAAATTACTCGCCCTATTTATATTTCATAAGGTTCTTAAGAAAGGATCAAAAGAAGTCAGTGATTTTATAGTTAAAAGTGCAACAAAAACTATTATCTTTGAGGGATCATGCTACTTGTAGAAATGGAAACACCTACCTCCCCTTTCTGCTGTTCTTTTATTTTCTTCTCCTTCTGTAACTGACGTTCTCTGTCTCGAGAGTCAAAAGAGAAAGGGCACACTTCCACGGTTTTTGCCTCTGGAATATGGGGCTTAAAAGGCACCCCAAAATGTGGCACGGGTTGAGCTCTTATCACTACCGGCTCCTCTTCCTACAAGAAAAATTGCCGTTTAGAAACAAGACTGCTACCTCTCACCTCCTCAGAATGTGTGGTCAGAAGACATTATATGAGAGAAGTCAATAATTAAGGCAAGTCACTCAACCTCTTAGGTGTCTTAGTTTCCATATGTATCAAAGGCACCTACCAACTCACAGGGGTGAGACCAATGTGAAAGCATTTGATAAAGGACTAACACAGCTACTCTTAAAGGATCTAAAGTCTTTTAGAAGAAGATTGTAAAAACTAGATGAAATCAAACACTGTGAACAAAATAAAGGACAGAAGGAACTAACCAAGCACACACCTTGGCCTCCTCTTTGACCCCCCCTCCATCTAGACTCCACTAAAACATGTGACTGGAGTTAATGGGGTGCCAGACCCAGAATAGGACCAAGTAAGTTGTTTGGGTTCAAGCTGGTAACATAAGATTACTGTGTATTTTAGTTTCGAATGAACCTATAAAAAGGCTCATGTTTGAGATCTGCTATAAAATTACCCTAACTCTTGATATTTATGGATAAACTAGAGATGTAACAGGAAACTAGCCTGATCAATGACAGTTTACACATTCCAGTTTCATGAACCATCCGCAGAGTCACCTTTGCAACCCTTGGGTTAATGAAGGTAGGGCAGGGTAAAGGTAACTGCGTGGTGTGAATTTTAAAGTCCCTTCAGTCCCTGGCCAGGTAGCTCAGTTGGTTAGAGCGTCACCCTGATACACCAAGGTGGCAGGTTCGATCTCCAGTCAGGGCACATACAAGAAGCAACCAATGAATGCATAAGGGGAACAACAAATAGATGTTCTTCTCTCTCCCCCTCTAAAATCAATAAATAATTTATTTATTTTTTTTAAAAGGTCCCTCAGTGAATGGTAACAATAGTACAGGCAAAATAGAGTACAGGGATCAGCAACTTTTGATCCACATGACAATGCTCCAGTAAGTTGCAAACAGTTACCACTGCAACACAGAAAATTCATACCCTTACCAACGACTTAGCTCTTGGAGGAGCAAAAGTGATGATCGAATGTTTACGTCCATTGTTAAAGACAACCCTGGACAAGAATGACTGCCTTTGAATTCCATTAAGTTTTAAGAAAGAACAATGCTTAGATTGATTATGCAGAAGGAAGAAGAAACCCCTATCCCAGAGAATCACCTCATCATTGGTGGGCATTCGGATTCTGTTCTTTAATGCAAAGGCCGGTGATTTGGGGACAGTGATGGGAAGTACTTTCTTTTCAGGAACACCCTGGAAGGAGGAAGCAACTCAATCAGACATCCCAGAACAATCTCCACTAGTTAAAACTAAATCCCTTTCTTAAAGTGAAATTCATATACCAGGAATATATTAAAAAATTAAAAAAAAGGGCTAGCTAGTATTTCAGTATGTCTTTATTCACCCCACTAGGACAAAGGCACATCTGATCCGCAGCAGCGCTCCGAAGGTGGATTACCATGACGCAAGAGTAGCGAATAATGAGTATGCGGTATGAGGATACTCAGTAAAAACAGAATGCATCAAAATCCTTTTTTTTTTGTATTTATGAAAAACACAACAGAAAACAAACTAACGCCAATATTTTGTTGTTGCTCTTCCTTTCTATAGAAACAGAAATCACTCAAAAACAAAATAAAAAGATATTCTTTCCTAAGCATTTTCTGATTCTCATAGAATTTATACTCTGTCATTAATCTCATAATTAACACTAACTACAAAATGTTATCCCTTGGGCTGTTGTTTTGAATAAAGTGTATGGCCAGATCAATTTAAAAAAACCCTCTCACATGCTTATGTTGCCCCATAAGCTCTATTCTGCTTCCTCTCCAAATCTCCACTGCCCATACCACAAGCCACATCATCGGCTACCTATACCATTCACCAGCCTTCTAACAGTCTTTTTGGCTTCTTGTCTCATTCTTCTAATCCATCCTCTGTACGCAGTCAGAATTATTTTTCTAAAACACATCTGATAATGATGCTTCCTGAAAAATCTTCAATGGCTCCTACTGCCTACCTACAGCCGTATAACAAATGCCTTGGCAAGAAGTACAAGGCGCTTCATAATCTGGTACCCTGCCTGACTCTCCAGCCTTATCTTCTGCCCCTTCTCATGCATGACCCTCCAATCACAATCAACTACTGGCAGCTGCCAAAACGTAACACTGGTTCTCAACTCAATATCCCTCCTCGTGTGTCCTCTATCTCTCTGCTGCTTAGAAGTACTCAGTCCTCCTTTTCAAGCCTCTGCTGAAGGATCTCTTCTTTATAAAGCCTTTCAATAGATCTCTTCAACTCTCAGAACCCACAGAACTGACCCTTCTTTTCTGTGTATAGTTCTATCACAGTACATACAGAATTTCATTGAGCTGATTTATTTAGACGTTCATTTCCTTGTGTTAGTCTATGACAGTGGGAGCTGGTATTCCATCAATCCCTAGCACCTAACAGATACCTTGGCAAGTATAAGGCCAAGCATTCAGTCAATGTTTGTTGAATGAACATAGTAAGAATAACAGAATTTATACCTTGGACACTAAGATTCTTACACTCTAACTTACATCTTGGGAAATTTCTCCTTAATCCCGACAATGTTGCAACTGTTCAAAACATGTTTGAAATCTCTTTCTTGGAATGGCTTTTAAAGTCCATTTTTGGGCCATTCAAGGTAGTCACTCATTCTTTACTTTTAATTAAACAAAATAGTTCCCAGACCTATTATCTTGGGCTACTCTGAAGTTTTAGTTCCAAATGACTTTAGACCAACTTCTAAAAGCAAATTAATCTTTGAAATATGAAGATGTGCCATCACTGAAGAGATCCAGAAGACTGCACCACAGGATCTAAGACAAGTGGCTCTTCTAAAATGCTTTGCACAATATCAATCATTAGAAAAAAAATTATACCCCACCAAGCTGACCTCTATAAAAGGGAATGTTTAATCTACTGTGAAAGTTCTTACATGTTTCCTAAATAAAGCCAGGATTTCTAGCATAGTGAAACCCAATATAGCAGAACTTGTAATGTGAGTGACGGAAGTCCATGAAATGGGGTTTTCAAATAATGCTTACCATAAAACGATGACAAAAATCTATTGTTCTACAACATCCTAGACAAGTGGACAACAGCCTCTTTCTTGAATATACCCAGGACATGTGGGAATGAGAACACTGAACAGGAAGGGAGCCAGAGATCTGCTCTCACCCAGCTGATTTCAATTGCTATAACCTTAGGCACATTAGAGAGCCTTCAGGCCTCTGATTTTTGGTTTTTTCTTTTCATTAAACAAAGTATTGGGAATATATATCTGAGGGCTCATTTCATTCTAAAATAATGCCTCTTTTCCTATTTTTCTCCTATCTCTAAATCTACCCAGCAGAGAGATGTGCATTTTATTTAAAGACTTTATTTATTTATGTTTAGAGAAAGAGGACAGGAGGGAGAAAGAGAGGAAAAGAAACATCGATGTGTGAGAGAAACACTGCTCAGCTGCCTCTCACACGCCCCCATCTAGGGACCTGGCCTGCAACCCAGGCATGTGCCCTGACCTTTGGGTCCGCAGGCCAGCACTCCATCCACTAAGCCACACCAGCCAGGGTGAGACATGCATTTTGAAAGAAAAGCAATGGGGACCCTGGCAGGGTATTTCAGTTGGTCAGAACGTTGTACTGATATGCCAAGATTGCAGGTTCGATCCCCAGTCAGGGCACATACAAAACAAACCAATGAATGTGTAAATAAGTAGAACAACAAATCAGTATTTCTCTCTCTCTTCCCCGCCTTCCTCTCTCTCTAAAAAATCAATGTTAAAATAAATTTTAAAGCAATGGAAATCTCTAATAAGTAAACCATGAAAGAGACATTTTCCAGTGGGATCAATTCTCACAATCAGTTGGGAGAGGGAAAGGTGATTTATGAAAATCAACTTTGTAGCAACTATGCACCCATACTCCATAAAAGGAAAGGAAACTGGGTTTTTAGAAACAAAAAAGGCTTCTTGTTTTGCCATTTTAAGTTTTTTTAGTTATAAGCTCCTTGAAGGTAGTTACGTTGCCATTTGCAATCCATTGCATCCTCCAAGGCACCTACAAGAAGTAACTGTTCAATGAACATAAGGCTGACTAATTCGTTTCTATGTCAATCTGCTCTACCAGACAGCCTGTGAAAGCTCTGAGGACAGGGCTGCTTCACATTCCACCTCTGAATGTCCAGGCTCTAACGCAGGCCAGGCACACAGGCTGGGCGCTTCAGCCTGCACTGTCACTCACCCCCTCGGCCGCAGTTGGAGTGCCTGTGCTGTGATGTGAGGCTCTGGGGGCAGAGCAGGGACCCGTGCGGGTATCCACAGTCCCTGCTCTCAGGGAACTCACATTCTAGTGGAGGACAGAATGAAAAAGTAACAAATCAATTCTTTCCTGATTTTCACGAGTGCTGTGAAGAAACCCACCAAAACATGGAGCTAAAGTATAATGGCAGTAAGCACATCTCCCTAAGGCAGGATATGCCCCCAAGTCCCCTGGGATGATTTCTTAGGCCTGTTCCAGAGCAGTTAGGAAATTACTGCATAGCAATGTTATCTCAGGGAATATGGGGGAGGGGGGAGGGAAACGTACCGGTCTCCCCAAGTCATCCTTAAAATATCACTGCTAAAATTACTCACTGGCCTCACTGACACCATATCCACCTCTGTGGTGCCCCAGCTCCCGCACTGGATGTCGGCACCAAGTTCACATTTCACACCCTGGAGCTACAGGCTTTCATCGCTCCACCTTTCCCCCAAGAGCCCTTATTTCATCTCTGCCTCATGGCCCGCTGCTGCCCAAGCCCGCTGTCTCCTTGCCACCTACCAACCACAGGCGGGAGAGCACAAGAAACACCGTAAGGACACAGACAGCGAGCTTCGGTACCCGAAGGGCATGAATGGGGAACAACAGTGGCAGGCAGATAAGTTGCACTTGGGCTCTGGGAGGCAGGCTCTTCTGTGCTGCTATGAAAGTCCAAAACCAGAAGTCAAGAGGCCTAATCGCTAAGAGGCCTAATCTCAGTTCTGCCACCAACTTTCAAAAATGGGCAAGCCACATTCCGCTTCCACAGCCTCCCTTTCTAAAAAATGGAGAGAGTGAAAGAGAATAAGTCTAGTTGTCTCCTGCGCTTTGCTTCTCTAGAAACCGAGAGTTGAAATGAAATCCCTGGAAATTTGAGAAAGCTGCAAACAGCTGGTGTCAAACTCAAAAATTGTTTGCCAAAATAAACGATGATTAACAGCATTACGGGACAGAATGATAATACTTAAGAAGATGACAGTTCAAATCCTGGTTCTACATATTAGACACCTCTTAGTGTCTCTTTCCTTATCTGAAAACTAGGTATAAAAACAGAACCTACCTCTTAAAGAGTTATGAGAAATATTAAATAAGGTCATCTACATAAAACAGTCAGTACAATGTAAGCATGCAGTAAAATAGTTATTACTATCAACAATATGACTGCTTACTGTGCATCAAACACTCCACTTTTCACAGGGCTCTCTCATCTATGCTGCACCTAACAAATCAAAAACTCCAGGGGTGGGGCCCAGGAATCTGTTTACGTAATAAGATCCCCAGAGGATTCTGAGAACCAGCTGGATTTGGCAAACACCTCCTTGCAGCATAGCGCTTCAATTCACTAGCATACTTACTTAACATAATGCTTTGCTGATCTGTTTATCCAGAATTTTCAGCAAGCCATAACCTGGTACAACACTTCTGTAAGATCTCAACTAACTCTTAATGAACTCTAGTTACCCTCCCCCACTCAACACTTCTCCGGAGTATTTCCAATGTACAAGAAACTGCCAAACCAATTTCCTCAATCAATGTTTCTAAAAGTGGAGTTCACGTATGACTGGTGATATGGAAGAGAATGTTAAGTGAAATATACTTTTTTTTTATACCCACATTTTCTTAAGAGCCTTCTATTTTATAAAAGAACACTCCAAGAGTATGGGCCCTCGAATCATACCACCTAGATTCATATCCTAGCTCTGGCATTGGCTAGTTTGTTATCTGGGCAAGTTATTTAACCTCTATAATTCCTAACCTTAAAAGGGATTGATAATACTACCTACAGTGTTTACCATGCAGAGTTATTATGAGAATTAAGTAACTTATCATATAAAGAACTTAGGATAAAACCTGGTACATAATAAGCTTTACATAAGTAGTAGCTATTATAGTTGTTACTAATGGCAAAATGTACTAGTTTTCCATTTACATAATGATTTAAATGTTTCTTTTAAAACCACTTTAAAAGAGTTGATTTTAAGAATATATAGTCAATACTGGTATCTGAGATAAAAACTGAGAGTGGTATGTGAATAAAAAAATAAAAAATGTAGCAGCAAGGGGTAAAGACAGGAGCTTGGGAGATGCTATTAAAAGCAAGGTGCCAAGTGAATGCCACAGAAGACTTGAGAAAGCCATTTGCTTCTCTGGGCCTTGGTTTTCTAGTGTGTAAAATGAAAATATTGAGTGAGTCCTTCTGGCTCTTAGGATTCTTAAGTCTGCATATAAATCTGCATTTCCCTTATTGTATTCAGAACAGTGCTCAGCGGGTGATGACCAACTCTTACAGACTAGTCACTTGGGCGGGAAGACTTTTCCTAAAAGTTGGTGTAACGGCCTTGGCCAGAATAGCTCAGTTGGTTGGACCATCATCTTATAAACCAAAAGGCTGCAGGTTTGATTCCTAGTCAGTGCACATACCTAGGTTGTAGGTTCTGTCCCCAGTAGGGGCACATGCAAGAAGCAACCGATCAATGTTTCTCTCTCACATTGATGTTTCTCTCCCACTCTCTCCCCCTCCCTTCCCCTCTCTCTGAAATCACTAAGCATGTCCTTGGGCAAGGATAAAAATAAATAAAATATACATTTCACTTTGGAAAAAAAGTTGGTATAACACAGTTTAACCATATAGTACCTGTGCACCTTAGCAAAAAAGAAAACATGATTAGAAAAGAGATCTTATGCCCCAGCAGGTGTGGCTCAGTGGATTGAGTGCCAGCCTGCAAACCAAGGGGTCACTGGTTCAATTCCCGGTTGGAACACATACCTGGGTTGCGGCCTGGGCCGCCAGCAGGAGGGCATGTAAGAGGCAACCACACACACTGATGCTTCTCTCCCTCTCTTTCTCCCTCCCTACCCCTCTCTCTAAAAAATAAATAATGAATAAAATCTTAAAAAGAGATCTCATATGCAGAGAGCTCTCAACAGACAGATATGAGGTGGGAAGAGTGTAAGAACTATTTCTAAGCATTATCATGCTTTTTTAAGCCTGAAAAAATATATTCTTCAGATTGCTTCGGACTTAGTGCTAAGAAAATGGAATAAACAAAAGGTAAGTACCCAAACGTAATACAATGGTACAGTTTCACTTGAAACTGTGGTGATAATAAAAGGCAAGCAAAAAAGAGGACATGAAAACAGCATTGAGTACCTGAACATAGGTCAATCCAAACCAAGGGAAGAAGGTGTTTCCTGTTTAGATGCATGAGAATACACCTAAAAACCTTCTTTGCACTTACGCAGGTGCTAAACTCCATTACTTATTCTTAGACTGTGGCATCTCTTCCTCACCATCAAAATAAAGCAACCCACTTCTCAAATCTAGTTTTCAGTTGCTCCTCTTGATATACAGACTTTTTTCCAGCTTATCTGACGGGGTCACAGTAAGTAGCTGTCCCATGTTTTCCACATTCAGGCTTTTTTTTTTGTCACTCCCACCGCCTGGAATGGCCATGAGTCCATTTCATTTGCATTTCTACAAGTCCAAATTCTACCATAGAATGGAGAGGCAATATAATGACTTTTTAGGATCACGGACTCTGGAGCCAGAGTGTCTGAATTCTTACCGTTGCTCCACCATTTACTAGTTGAGCATCAAATGCCTCATCTCAAATTGGTGATAATTAGAGTAAACAACCTGGAGCAGCCATGGTCGCAATGAATGGCTTCAGATACATGAAGGGCTTAGAGCAGTGCCTGGCACACACTGAAATTGTCGGTGACTGTGACAGTGACAACATGATGATGACAAGGACAACAACTACAACACATTGCCAACAATCAGGTCAAATGCTTCTTCCTCCCAAAACCATTCCCTAAAACTTCTACCTGAAAGAAACCATTATCTCCTTTGAATTCCTATAGTACTTTTAACTGTCATCTCTCTTAGAACATTTCTGTCTCATTTCATATTATGCATGCATGTTGTCTCCCTTATTGGACTGTTTCCTGAGGGCAAAATCCACGTCTTATATGTCTCCTTATCGCCTACAACTCCTAATATGATGCCCTGATCATAGTACCTATTCAAACATATATAAGTGGGTAGAGGTTTGGTCATGAGCAGGAAAAGTTTGCCAGCATGCAGGGCCTCACCACAACATCTTCCAAGATCTTAGATGGGCAAGGTCTGGAATGAAATTCAAAGTGTTCATCCTCTGATTTCTTCTTTGATTCACGCTCCTGGATTCTTTTCTCAATCTCCAAATCAAAGCCAACAGGCTGAGTGGGTGGCTTCACAGGTGGCTTCTTGGGCAAGATGGGCCCACCTTCAAGAATTCTGGGATCAAGTTCCCGTGCTTTGAATTTATATCTGTAAGGTGAGAGTTTAAATGACAACCACACACATAAAAATTTTTTTAATAAAATGAAAACTACATGAACAACAAAGGCCAAAACAGGAAAACAATAATCATTAAGCTTAGCCATCATGCACAGCAAAATTTCTCTCCATAGCCATTATCTTTACGTCTAGAACAAAGGACAAATGAGAAAGGAAGTCATAACATTCCCATCACTTTAAAGACTGGCGTTTCTCTTGAAGCTCTCACCCTTCTCAAAAGTACAAAAAGATATAGAAGGGCCCTGGCTGGCATGGCTCAATGGACACTGAGCACTGGCCTGTGAACCCAAGGGTAGCCAGTTCAATTCCCAGTCAGGGCACATGCCTGGGTTATATACCGGGTCCCCAGTAGGGGATAAGTGAGGAGCAACTACACACTGATGTTTCTCTCCCTCTCTTCCCCCTCTCTAAAAACAAATAAATAAAATCTTAAAAAAAGAGAGAGAGAGAAAAGAAATGGAGGAAGGATACAGGAGACAAACTCCAGTGCTAACCACATTAATTTCCAGTTTTCTGCCTTGACAGTCCCTTCGGTAGCCATGAAAGGGTAGGATGTACCTAAATAAACCTCAGAGGATGCTCCTTAATTGAAATCATAAGTAAGCTCTCCATTAGCTTTTTACCAGTTTACACTCTATGACATCTCTATATTCCCATTTCCAGGGCTTTAAACAAAGAGGCAGGGGCACAGCCTGCAGAGCCAGTAACTCAAATACCACAAATTCCCATGGCATGAAAAATAGCAACTGTCCCCTTATAGAACCGAAAGGAGATTGGGCAGGTTCTTGGAACTCTTCCTCAAATACTGCCAGTGGTACTTACTGTTGTAGTTTCTCGAGCTCCTCAGCCTCCTGATCTGCTGAACTTTTGCAGGTCACAGGCCTTGTGCGCTGTTTGGTTAGCAACACAGGAGTCTGTGGGTCTCTGGAAATCTTGGCCACAGCAGGTTTGGAGGGTAAAAGAGCTGTAAACCGAGATCACAGACATTCAACTGGCTCCCCAAGACCCCTTATACCTGTAGGTGCTAACTCACCTTGGCATCCCAGAGATGCCCAACCACAGGTGCCCTCCACACTCAGCTCAGTTCACATGAGTCAACCCGACATTCGGTCAGGGATATGATGAGGGTTGCCTTTGGGTAAACTCTACTATGACCTTCTGAACTTGAAAGCCACCGTATCGAATGAATTCCTTATCACTACACAGGCCTGTACTGCCCTTCTATTGACAATGGCAACTATTTTGCTTATTATTGACAAGTAAGATTTTTATTTATTCTAGCTTTAAAAGAAGGCCTTTGTAAAGACCAAGTAATGATTCCCAATTTTATAAACTCCTTAAAAGCATCTATATCAAAGTATCAAAACTACTTCTCACAAAAGACAAATGGAGAAAGTAAAAAAAACTATGTCAAAGCATCAATATTAAGACCATCACCCAACATTACCGCAATGAATTCAATAAACATTAAAAAAGGGACCATCACTACTACTCACAGAAAATACTGATTTGCCAGGTCAGGGGCAACTGCGTTGTTTTCAAAATGATACAGAATGAGTCCTCTGATTTAGATGTTACCACATGAGATGGTAGGATCCAAATCTATTTCTATTATAACTAAGCCAGCCTTCAAGTATACATACAACAGTTATTTAGCTATAACTATTAAAAGTTTTAAATAGCCCTGGCTCAGTGTATTGAGTACCAGCCTGTGAATCAAAAGGTCCCCAATATGATTCGCAGTCAGGGCACATGCCCGGGTTGCAGGCCAGGTCTCCAGTTGGGGGCAAGCAAAAGGCAACCCCCCAATCTATGTTTCTCTTGTACATTGATGTTTCTCTCACTCCCTTTCTCCTTTCTTTCCTCTCTCTCTAAAAATAAATAAAATTAAATAAAAATTACAGAATATAATTTTTTATTTCTGTTTGCCAGGACAAATTCTAAGCAGGACATATCAGACTCTAAAGTCATATATTATCTTAAAAGGCATGTTTAATATTTAAATCTCTATTAGGTTAAAAAAAGACATTTTATTATTTTCACTAATATAAAATCTGATAAATGGCTATTAGAACTTAAAAATATTAAGAAATGCTGTACTTAAAGGAACTTGTCTGCCTACCTAACATAGGACTAAACAATGCCCATGTAAGGGCAGAAAAACTGAGACCTTCAAAGGCAAACCAACCAGATCCTGCTTTATCCATAATGCTAGTCTTTTACTCTTGTACAACTATTTTATACCACTTCTATTTACTTCTCAAACTTCTTTACCTTCCTTCTTGTAGTAATTATTTTCATAAAAATAGGAGCTATTAGATTAGAATCATCTCATCTGTTCATGGCCAAATCTATACGCTCACCAGCATTTGCACTCATTCCTCTCACTCTTCCATCCTCCTTTCAAAGAACGCTCACTCTCCGTGTGCTAAGATCCCTCCTCTACCTGCCTGTGTAGGGATCTAACCATTGGCTATTTACTTTTTCTCCTCTATCTTCAACTTCTCTCTCTGCCAGTAACTTCTCAGTATGCAGACACGCTCTACCTATCTCCCACCTCCTTTCACTCTGACATCTCCCTCCATGTTCTTAGCACTTCAATAATTTGTTATAATCTATTTATTTATCCCTCTCACTGAATTAGAAACTTAGTGTTGAGTAGCACCAAGTCCATTTGGTTCACTTTTATACCCCCAAACACCCAACAAAGTACCTGGTTTGTAGGGGTAAAAAACTTGCTGAATCACTGAACAAAAAGCACAGAATCTTAAATGAACAGAATGCTTCATTTTCTCTAGGTAAGTAAATGCACTGTGACACTTTGGCACACAGTAAAGGTATCCTTGATGCATAATAGCACATCAGGTAACCTTGATTCCCCTTGGCCTGTTATTGACCAGGATTAAGGTGGTTGATTGGCATAAAAGTGGACAGATAGCTGGAGAGTTTGAAAAATGCTCAACTATACATGAGTTGTCTGCATGTAGGCACATGCCATACTTTAGTTCAAAAACTAGGATTTCAACGAAAGGCAATCAGCACCTAAGATGTAAGCAAAAGAAATTTCAGGGGATTCTCCAGTCAGCTATGATACCAGTATGAAACTTACTGATATCATCCTTCTTGCTCCTCAAGTGGTATCTGTTAGGGGTTCGTTTATAGAAGGCTTCGACCTGCTGTGCAAGAGGCACATATGAAGAAGTTGTTTCATCGAATGTTCTCTTCTTTCCTTGGGACAGGTTGAAAGGCTTTATAATAGTGCATCCCTTAGTCACTTGGGCCTGTAAAGAAAGAAGTTGTTCCCCAAATGAAATGTTATAAAGGCTCAGATCTATCACAAGTCACACATTCAGCAAAGATCAAAAGAAAAAGGGCCCATGGAAAACCAGGATTATTATAACTTAGTCTGTCAGTTCTTGAGCACAGGTTATAAGCAGCCTTGTCCCATTTTTTTAAAAAAGGAAGAAAGGACCTAGCACTTAGCAAATTGTTCTATAATAGCATATAAAGTGATTTTTTTTAACAAGCATGTTAATGTTTTGAAGCGATCAAAAACAAGCCTTCTTAGAAATACAAGGAACAAAAAAAGCTACAAAGGCACCCCATCCCCAAACCCATTTAAAAAAAAAATGGGTAGGGCTTCTGGGCGTGGGTCAGGTCAGGCAGCTGCCTGAATCAGAGTCTCTCACACAGGCCCCCCAAAGCTGACTGTTGAAGAGGCCTACTCCTTCAGTCACTCATTTTGATTAAACTTGTCTCTGATTGGGAACAAAATTCTTCCAGAACCTACATCTCAAAGAAAGATGCACACCCCAGGGATTAAGACTGAAGACTGACCTCAACAAATGATGATGATGACTGAAATTGCAAGTAGAGATTCTTAGTACCAGAGTTTTTATTTAGGACTGTTACTTTTTTTGTTAGTGCTCTGGTAAACAAAACTGCATAGGATTTGAGTGTCTGCCCCAACCCCATTTTCCCCATAAATGCTGTTATTTTGTACACTTTGAGAACACAAGATTTTTTTCAAGAATTTTATAACAGCACAAGCTGTAACAAGCCTGTGCTTACTCTAATTCTATGCATTTTATATATATTCTCAATTCAGTTTCCACAGCAACATGGCAAGATGGTTCCCAGAGAGACAGTGATTTATCCAAGATCACAGAGCTAACAAGGACAGAAGTGAGGATTTAGATCTTAATTTAATTTTCTTATTGTAAGTGGTGACCACAAATGCTACATCTGAAACCCTCACTGAATTAGTAACAGGAATATTCACTTAGTTCATCAACTTACAGGAGATGGAGGATGCTTTCGCAGTTCTGATATGAAGTTCACTTCCTTATATTCCTCCTGGTTCTGAGGATGTTGTTTGATTCGCTCATCTGTGCGGAAGTGGAAGTTGACTGATTTGGTTACCTGGCTCACTGATTTCTTCACAGGTTGCCCTGAGAGAGAAGCAGAGTAAAACACAGAGGTAACAATAAGAATACAGAATATCAGTAAATCCCTTTTTATGCAGTCCCTTTGGGCTTTCTAGTACCATGGATCTACCTTTGTTTACTCTCTACACATAACCCAATATTTGAAACAGTCCTCAAGGAAACTTATATACCTATTCATTGAGTTGAGACTGTTGGGTTTGAAGTCCTTCAGTCAGATACAAACTGTAAAGAGGTAGCAAAGGAAAGAAAAATCCCATCTCCCAGATGTCGCCATAGGTCTGAAGACACAGAGTAACTGAAATAACTTTAGATAGGCAAAGCTCTCGACTGACTTTAAAAGCACATTTAACTAACTATCACTAAGAGGGAAACCCTATAAACTCCACAGATGCTTTTTTCAACCCAGTAAGCAGGGCTTTGTAGCTGCAACTCCCCCAACAATAACTAGGCCAGAGCAAAGCAGAACTCTGACCCCTCAGCTCCCTCAGCCATACTGCTCCTCCACAGACACAGCTGAATCCATTCAGCTTTCTTGTCCTCTGCCTCAGAGAAAATGGGAAAACGACGACAAAAAACTGGCCTGCCAAACTGCTTAATCTTCTGCCTTAATCCTAATCCCTTTTATTTTTTCTAATTAAAAAAAAAAAAAAGAGGGAAAAATTAATTCTACTTGAAGAAATGAAGGAAGTCCTCATGGGAAAAGGCCTCAAAAGATGGGTACGACAGACACAGAGAAACAGCATGCTCTAAGAAAGGTCCGATATATGTAAAATGTTCTAGGGAATGATCATTGGGATATATATGGTACCCATGACCAGCCCTCTTAAATAAACATGTTATTTTATGCCAACTACTGACCAAGAACCGCCCTTTTTGCTATAGAGACTTCAAAAAACCGTACCAAGATTATGAGAAGCACCACCCATAAACCAGACTCATCCAGAACCAAGCTGACCTGCTCCTGCAAGAGCAAGCTTCTTGAATTCTTCATTCTTTTTCCGCATCTCGATCACCTCCTGCTGCATTTTCATGCTCTTTTCCAACTCTTGTTCTTCAGTACTTTTTAGAATCTTCTGCCTAAAGGGCAAATCAATTAAGGAGATAAAAGAGGAGAGGCGAAAGAGGCTCAATGATTCAAAATAACCTAAAGGCATTATATAGGTTAGATTTTAAACCTGAGATAAAATAATCATCCAAACAAAAAGTATTATCTAGTAGATACTGACTTAGATAACCTATATATACTCATCTTCACAGAATATTTGTGACCATTAAATCAGATGTTTCTGAAGTACTAAACACATAGTGAAATTCCAGTAAGAGTAGCCATTCTTAGTAATGAGAACATCATTAAGACCGCTTATAGATAAACAGAAAAGGAAACAGACAATTCACCCAAGCAGAAATACAGAAAAGATGTTACATAACAGTAATACTATGTTGTCAGCAATCAAGCAAATACAAATTAAAATAAGGATGCCATCAACAACATATCAATTAAATGGGGAACATTTTTTAAAGTAAAAAATTCAATGCAGATGACACAAGGAAATAAAACATATTCAAAGCTGATGACACTGTAAATTCATACAGTCATTTCAGAAACAAAACGGCAATAAATATCAATAGCCATAAAACTAGTCATACACTTTGATCAAAGACTTTTTCTTTACCCTGAAACTACTCAAAAGAAAAAGCTCTGCCTATAAAGATGTTCACTGACTTTTACAATAGTAAAAAATTGGAAACTGCATTTTCTATAAAAACTTTTTAAATGAGAGGCTATTAACAATCTATCAAAAAAGGACAAATGTGAAGATTTTAAAGCAGCACAGAAAAAAAAAAACAATGTTTCATGGTGAGTGAATAAAGCAAACGCAAAGGTTATTTATATCCTGATTGTGAAAGTATGTATTTTACTTGAATAAAGACCAGAGGGGAGCCTGGCAAAATACAAACATTCAATTTAAGTAGTAAAAACCTTTACTTTTTCTTTTTATATTTATTTTTATTTGCTTTAATAGCATATTTTTTCCATGTTTAAGACCTGAGCCACCACCACAATATAAAACAATTCACCTTGTCATGATTATAGCCTTTGGAGTTTCTCTAGTCCCATACACACCAAAAAGACCGCAGATGTATCCATTTGTAATCTTACCCCATGGACTCTAATGTTTAAATTCAGGAAAGAAGCATACCTTACAGGCGGAATACAAGGCACAGTATGTCTGCCCTTGGCTTTCTCTGGGGACAACTCATTCTTTCCAGACGTATCTTGATGAGCACTACCATCTTCCTCTTCTTCTGGCTTCTTCTTATTGTTAGAACTTAAGTTCAAAAGAACAAAAAATATCCTCTTAATTCCCTAAGGTATACCCTGCTCTAGCCTACTCTCCAAATCATATACATATGACTTCAATTTTCTCACTCTTGGGGGCAACAAACTTGCTTCAACCACAAGATTCTTCCACTAGTATCATCAGATCATATATACCAATGGCTATAGTGGGTAAACTTTAAGAGCATCAACAGAAGTCAATATAACAGTTGTTTGGTGATGGCTGATGAGGGTAGGGCTGATTTCAACTGCCCATCATTGAATGCACAAATGGCAGACAGTTAGCTGCCTTCCCAATACTCATTGTTATCTTTCTTATTAATAAAATTCCTATTTTGTTTGGTGTGACAATGCATGAAGACAAAAGCGCTGTACTTGGTAAACAGCCTCTACTGCAACTAGGAGGGATCCAAAAAACCCGTTGGATAGCTGAGATATAACAAGGGTTTCTGGAAGACATTTCACTTTCGTGACATGGGTGCCGCCCCTCTTCTTTTGTCTTCTTCTTCTCCTCTTGAACACGGGTGTGATACCTAGAGATATAGCAGCTATCTTGTGGCAACAAGGCAAGGAGCACAAGGAAGAAGCTAAGAAACATAAAGCAGCCATCTTGAGCAACAAGCAAAAAATAAAAGCCACGACTCAGAGATGCTGCCCTAGCATTGTTCAGCCACTGAACCAAAGCCAACAACAAACTTCTGTGAAGCAAATAAATAACTATTCTGTAAACCATTCCAGCTGAACAGATAAAATACATTCCTAACTGATAAAAGAGCACCATATATTCTGCTTGCTATTAATCACAGGAGCAAACAGGGGTAAAACCTATGCCAACAGACAGAAGCTGTAGCTACTTACACTCTCATTCTTTTGGAGGGTGGGGTTTCACTGATGATTACAGGATTAGAACATCTTTTAGCTTTCGTTTTCACGTGGTGTTTTTCTTTCTGTGCCAAATCCTTCCGAGCAGAGAGTCTAACAGATCTTCTATGGTAGAGGAATTGACAAAATTTATCTGAAATAAATATATCTACTACACATATGTGAATGTTCTTCAGAAATGTGAAAGTATATCAGATTACAAAGGGTTATGAAAAATTTAGTGATATTATTTCCACTCTAAAAATCTAATCTCATCTTATAGTTCTTGAAATTTCATCAGAAAATACTGGTATTTAAATGCATTGGTATTTGTAAACTAGACCTTAATAAAGCTAAGATTTTGTTTAAGCCACTGACAATCACCTAGTAGAATTCCCTCTTTTTATAAGTAAAAATAAAAGTAAAAAAAAGATGAGGTGACTTGACCCAACCCTGTTACATAGCTAATTACTGTCAGAATTGAAATTAGAGAACAGATCTCCTAGAAACCAATCATATTTTATTTTCTCCTTTTTCTTTTAGCCACATTGCCCTTTTTGTTAAAATATAACACATACCAAAAAGTAAACCAACAAAATTTAAGTTAAATTACAAGATGAAATCACCATCTAGTTAAAAGAAACAGAACACAGGCAGCAGATACTTTGACTTGTTTTATTGTAATTGTTACTTTTTAAAAAATCATTTTATCTTATAAGCATGCATTCCATAAACATGGTATATTAGTTAGGAAAGAAACAAAAATAAATCTTTATATAATGTAATTAGGCTGCTGGGAGTATTTTTTTTTTTTTGGTCTGGTTTATTTCACTGAACATTATGAGATTCAACCTAGACTGATTCATGTAGCTTTAATTCACTGTTTTCAATGTTGCACTCACTGCAAGAATGTACCACTATTTATCCAGTCCACTACTGATTCCCACGTCTCTTGGTGTACATGTACGCACATGGTTGGGTACGTTAAGTCATAAGATTGATGGGTCATAGGACACTGATTAAAACAAGTGAAGTTGTTTTCCTAAGTGCTTGTACCAATTTACACAAGTTTATAAGACTCTTCTGCGTTGCTCTACATCCTCCTGACTACTAGGTATCATCAGATGATTTAATTTTAGCCATAGTAGTTGGTATCTAGTAGAACTCCATTGTGGTTTTAATTTGCTTTTCCCTGATAAACAGTGAGACTGAGCAACTTTTCACATGTTCACCGGCCATCTGGTTATCCTCCTACAAAAGTGCTAGTAGTTCGAGTCTCTTGCTTGCTTTCTATGGGCTGTCAATCCTATTCGTCTTTTTTCTTTTTTAACTTTATTTTTATCGTTGACCCTATCACAGATATCCTCCCTTTCCCCTCTTTGCCCACCTCCACCCGGCCCCCATACCCTCTTCCCGCTGCCCATCACAATGTCAGTATCTATGGATTAAGCATTTTTGTTCTTTGGCTAATCCCTTCACCTTCTTCCATCCATTCTCTTCTCCCCTCCATTCTGACAGCTATCAGTCTGTTGTTAATCCTTTTCCAATGGATTAGTAGGGAGCCTTTATATACTATAAATATGAGCCCTTTGTAGGTTTTATCTGTTACAAATATCTTTTTCCAATATAGGAGTTGCCTATTTACTCTCTTTATAGTATCATTTGAATAGATAAAGGTGCTCAAATACATCAACCACACTCCCCATTATGGTCAGTGCCTTTCTGTGTGTATCCTATTCAAAAACTCTTTCCCTATTCTAAGGTCATAACTATATTCTATTTTTTTCTTTAGTTAAAGATTTTTATTTATTTTTAGAGAGAGGGGAAGGGAGGGAGAAAGAAACATTGATGTGTAAGAAACATCAATCGGCTGCCTCTTGCACACTCCCCAACTGGGGACCTAGCCCCCAAAGCAGTCATGTGCCCTGACTGGGAATCGAACCAGCAACCTTTTGGTTCACAGGCCAGAACTCAAACCACTGAACCACACCAGCCTGGGCTCGCCTATATTTCCTTATGTGAATTTTAGCTTTTACATTTAGATCCACAACCTACCTAAAACTGACTGTTTTTATATGGAGTGAGGCAGGGGCCAAGTTTCATTTTGTTCTGTTTGGATAGCCATTGTCCAAGTATTTAATGAAGGGAAGTTTTAAAAAAAACAAAAACAAAAACAAAAACAAAAAAACCCACTTTCCCCACAGGTCTGCAGTACCATCTTTGTCATATAGCATGTCCATACATGGGTGAGTTTCTGTTTAACTCCACTGGTCTCACTATTGTGGTAAAGCAACGCCTCCATGTAAAAATTATTATTACAGACTAAGTCCTTGTTGACTCTTAACTTCTGTGTCAGGAGTTCTGACCATCTTTCCGTCTATCCATCTAAACCATGTGAAAATAAAATAGCAGAGAATTTATGATTGCCTAAACCATTCTATTTCATCTGCTGTTCCTTTCTAGATTAGGCATCTCTGGATTAAGATAAATCTAAGATCTGAGATAATCACACTAATGTTTTACCTCTTATTATACATTTTCATAACAGTATCATTTACAAAGTACTGTCACATATTATCTTATTTGGACCTTTCTTACAATTAGTTTCTTTATTCTCAGTAAACTGACATTTTGGAATAGTAGAGGGTAACTGACTTAAAAAAAAAATTTTTTTTTTTAGGTCTTCTGACTGACAGCAGCTGTGTTCTTCTCATAGCATCATTTCCCAAAAGCTTTCTAGAATTCAGTCAGGATGAGGAACGATTTCAGTAGTCATATACATATACAACACAGAGAAGCCGCTTCAGAACACTTTCTTAGGTTCTAAAGGAATCTATGGGACCCTAGGTCTCTTTTCCATATGCCACAGTTCACAATCTAAACATGGAACATAAACCACAGAATCAACTCATTATCTCTTAAAGGTCCTGTGATATATACCAGGCTGGTCAAGATTTCATAGAATTCTTTGATTAAAATGGGCTTCTTCACCAGAAAATATAAGCTTGTGCAACACCATTCTCAAAAGTGATACCCTCATGCCAGCATAAGGCATTGCAAAGGGTAATTTCATTACTTCTGAGCAATAATATTATAAATATTCTGTCATTCTTCTTCCTTGAGGATAGTCTAGGTGATGTCAAAGTATAAAGCAATAAATACACCTGCAATTTAAACTCTGGGTGGGTGGTAATTATTAGATGGTGGAAGTTCTGAGATTGCTAGTGCAAGACTACAGGTTAATCTACCCATTCAATAAATAAATCCATTCATTTATTCATCAAATATTACTCAGCTTCTGCTCCAGACAGACACTGCTAAGCACTAGGGATACGTGATATTTACCCATATAAAGTTTATTTAAGACAAGGCAAAAAAAAAATCTGTCAAACAGTAAAATTCCAACCCACACTGAGGGTGCAAACAGCAAGGGCTTTGGAACCAAACTATCAGTTTGAATCCTGGCTCTGAAACAGTTTTTACCTTGGACAAGCAACTTAGTACCTCTGAGCCCTTATTCATAGGACCTACAACTCAAAAGTGTTATGAAGATTAAATAAGGTAACATAAAAAGTCTAACAAAGTATGGGACACCTAGTAGATGCTCTGTCCAGTAACTATTCTTTGAACATTGTTAACATTACCACCACTTTGACCCTGAAACGTACCTCTGAGCCTGGGATGGAGTATTTCTTGAGATGGTTCCCTTGACTTCCAGGGAAGAACAAGCATTTGAAGGAATGGACTGTTGCACTAGATTTTCTTTTTCTGACTCTTTGTAATGAGTATTGTCAACTGCAGGAGAGTAAAAACTAGTCAGCACTCAAATTCCAAGAACATAAGTTGGAAATAAGATATACAGGGTGGGGCAAAAGTAGGTTTATAGTTGTTTGTATGGGAAATAACAAATTACACAAATAGTAATTTACAAATAAAAATAACAAGAATAAACTTTGTTTCACATACTCACAACTGTTAAACTACTTTTGTCCCACCTAGATATATATATATGACTTAATAAGGAATTCAGAGTGAAAATTTTATATATATGTGTGTGTATACATCTAGCCCTCCTAAGCAGTGAAACATTCCTCAGACAACCAATTTATAAAAGCTATTTTGATTGAAACACAACATATCCAAGGCCTTGCCTATTTGCTAGCCTAAGGCACCATCTGAGGAAAAAACTTCCCAAACACATTCTCATGACATTTTAAAAAAATAAAATTTTGAAATCTTCCAGAGAAAAAGAAACCACCTAAGAAGCAAGGAGAATACGATAAGCTAAATTCCTCATCAGTGACACAGGATGATAGATTAAAAAAAACCACCTTCAGTGTAGTCAAAAAATGTTTTTTAATCTACAATTCTATATTAAGTCAAACTTTCCATTGTATATGAAGGTGGAACAATGACATTTTCAGACATGAGAGAACTCAAAAGTTCTCTTCTCTAGTACCTAATCTTGGGAAGTTCCTTGAGGGTGTGTTCCAGCAAAATGAAGGACAAATAAAAGAATACAAGAAAGAGACACAGTATCTAGGAAGTAAGTCAGCAAAGATATTGAGAAGATATTAAGAAAAAAACACTGCCCTTCTCCCAAAAAGCAGTTAAAACTTCCAAGGATGATTGTCCGGTATGACAAAAATTTAAGTAATTGATGAAGCTTAAAGAAAAGAGAATCTACCTGACCTTGGTATGAGGACCATGTTTATGTGTGTGGCCCAAAGGTTCTGACAGTGGAGCGGAGGAAAAACGGGGAGAACCAAGAAGGAATGCAGTTGCACATCACACTAGCTGATCTTTCATCAAATATATTTACAAAATCATATTAATGTAAGTATTGCTGACATAATCATTTTATCAGGCAGTATGGGTATAGCCACAATGTATAACAGTAAGAGTTAAAAGATGTAGCATTTGAGAAAGGGGACTGAGAATAGGGGTGGGAAGGGGAAGAAGATATTTTATCATTAAATATCATGTTACCATGGCCATCATGAAACAGTAACAGAAAAAGAAAAAAGCGCTATACGAATACTGAGAAAAGAATAATCAAGTAAAGACTTCATGGAAAAAAGAGCATTTGATGGTATAGCTTATGAAATGAGCCTTGATAAAAGAAAACTCCAACTATATGACAGGGGAGAAAAGTTCATGAAAACACATTTCACGCATTATTTATTCCAGAGAACAATCATTTGGCTCCTTCCTGAAAGAATTTTTTTTTTGGAGGGAAGAAAAAGACATAGAAAAAAAACAAAAACAAAAAAATGATAACATATTATGTCAAGGCACTTATGCTAATTAAAAAGCAGCGATGATTATATTAAATTTTAAAAAACAAGACCCAACTTATACTGCCTACAAAAGAAAGTACTTAAAATATAAAGAATGCTAACACCAATCAAAAGAAAACTAGAGTTAACATCAAACAAAGTAGATCTCAGAAAAAAGACTATTACCAGAGATGAAGATCATTTCAAAATGATAAAATGGTCAATTCATCAAGATGTTATTTATGCATCTTGCCCTGGCTGATGTGGCTCAGTTGGGTGGAGTGTCATCCCGTAAACCAAAAGGTTGCAGGTTTGATTCCTAGTCAGCACATGCCCAGCTTGTGGGTTTGGTCCCTGGTTGGGGTACATATAAGAGGCAACTGGTCGATGTTTCTCTCCCTCTCACTATCCATCCCTTTCCCTCTCTCTAAAATCAATGAGCATGTCCTTGGGTGAGGCTAAAAACTTTTTTAACATAAAAAATAATAGTAAGTGTAATATTTATGCACCTAATAACAGAGCTTCAAAATACACAGAGAAAAAACGAGGAGAAATAGACAAACGCATAATTATAGTCTGAAACTTAATACTTCTCTTTCTAATAGATGAAAGCAGCTGACAGAAAAATCAGTAAGAATATAATACCCATAAATAATATATGAGGTCTGTCCAGAAGGTATCCACTTATGTACTATGAAAAATAGAGATATTTATTGAAGAAGGTAAAAGATACAAGAAACATTGTATGCAGGACAACGATGCCTCAGTGCCCTTCAAAGAAGGCAGCTTGGGACCTCCCACAGTTCGCCCAATCACTATTAGCTGCCTCATCATATTTTCCTGAAACTCATCAATGGTCTGAAATCTCTTCCCTTTCAAAGGTGATTTTAGTTTTGGGAAAAGCCAGAAGTCCTGGAGTGCCAAATCTGGCCTGTAGGGGGCTGAGTCACCTGGGTGATTTGACGTTTTCCCAAAAATCTCTGCACGAGACATGATGCATGAGCGGGCACATTGTCGTGATAATGCTGCCAATCACCAGCTGGCCATAGCTGCAGCCTTCTCAATCACCCCAACAGTTTCCACAGAGGACTGTTTAAGCTTAACGCAAAATGTGATGCAGATTTGTCACTCTACATGCTCAGTCATTTTGAATGTGATGGCCACACAGTACACATGCTTATTCAATGGCGTCTACCACCCCCACTGACTAGTACAGTGAAATTGTCATTATTCATGTATACGCATTCCAGTCTACTTGCCTTGACTGCCAGGTTACATCAATGTCATGTAAACCATTCTCGTTACATTAACAATGGCTCGACTCCGGAAAGATCTCGTATAAGTGAATATGGCCAAATACCAATAAAACTTTTTACATAAATATGTACCTAACAACAGAGCCCCAGGTAATGAAGGAAGAACTAACAAAATTAAAGGAAGAGACAGGCAATTCAACAATAATAGTTGAAGACTTTAATATCCCCACTTTCAATAATGGATGGAGCAATTAGAGGATCAATAAGGAAACAGAAGACTTGAGCAATGCTATCAACCAACCTGACTTAACTGACATTTAAGTAACCCTCCACCAAACGACAGCATAATACACATTCTTTTGAAGTGCACACTGAATATTTACCAAGACAGACAGACCTTCTGAGCCATAAACCAAGTCTCAATACATTTAAAATGAATCTCAATTCATTCAGGTCCCAAAATATGTTCTTTGACCACAATGGAATTAAATACATCCACAAATCAAATACAAAAAAAGTTTCTGGAAACCCTGCAAAATACTTGAAAATACATTTGAAAATATTTGGAAATAATATTTCTAAATAACACATAAATAACTTGCAACTAGTAGATCAGTCCTGGATATTTATGCACAGCATACAGATTACAGTCACCAATACTGTATTATAAACTCCCAAGTTACTAGAAACTAGATCTTAATTACTCTCAAAACAGAAAAGAATTAAGAGATAGGACAGAGATAAGAGATGTAAGATCCATAAGAGATATTACCATTTTTATTTATTGTTGGTCTGGTGTCAGGGTTTGTTCCATATCACATGACCCAACATCAGGCAATCCTATCTGTTTAGGGACTGGGTTCTGAGTAGCATAATCCATCCATTTAAAAATGAATTGGGCCTGGCTGGTGTGGCTCAGTGGACTGGGTGCCAGCCTAGGAACCAAAGGGCAGCTGGTTTGATTCTCAGGGCACATGCCTGGGCTGCGGGCTGGGTCCCCAGTAGGCAGTGCACGAGAGACAATCACACATTGATGTTTCTCTTCCTCTTTTTCCCTCCTTTCCTCACTCTCTAAAAATAAATAAAATCTTTTAAAAAATAAAATTAAATTAAAATTTAAAAAGTGAATTGAGGGGTAGCAAGAGGGAGGCGAGTATAGTTATAAAAGAGCAACACAAGGTTCCCTGTGGTGTTAAACTGTTCAATATTTTGACTGTGGTGGTAGACACATGAACCTACACAGGTGATAAAATTGCATAGAGCTTAACACATAAAAATGAAAGATGGCAGCATAGGCAGACATGGCTCGCCTCTTTGCATAACCACATCAAAATTACAACTAAAATATAGAACCACCATCACTCAGGAGCATCAGAAATAGAGTTAAATAGAAGACTGACAACTACAGAATTAAAGAAACCACATCCATCCAGATTGGTAGGAGGGGTACAGATGTGGAACGGGCTGGTCCCTCACCCACGTGTGGTGGATAAAAATTCAGGAGGGATATCTTGGAAGCAAGGAGTCCCAAGCCCAACCAGGTCCCCCAACCCAGGGTTCCAGTTGCAGGAGGATTAAGTCCCCACAACTTCCATCTACAAAAACCAGCAGGGATTGAGTTTGTGGAAGAAACTTCTGGAGCCCCAGGCACTTCTCTTAAAGAGCCCACACACAGATTCACCTACTCAGACTCACTCCTTCTCAGCTCCTGTACCACGGAAGCAGCTTGAAAGGTACCACTGGCATCCAGGGAGAAACTAAAGTGTCTGGCCTCAAGGAGAGCAGAGGCCATTGTCCCTCTTCTACACCCTCCCCCTACAGAGCCCACAAGCTGGTGCCATATCTGAGACTCCATCAACCTAGCTAACACCGTTTGACCCTCCTTGGAGACCCCAGAGATTCTGCCCCATCCAACTTACAGCTGCACCCAAGCTGTTTTTCCGTAGGAATGGTTGGTCTTGGCTCATGCTTCACAGCTTCCTAAGTCCTATCAAGTAAGCAACAGCTGGCCTCAGTGAGCCTCGGGCCCGGCACTAGCAGCTGCCAGTCTAGGTTCACAGCTTGGCTTCACCTGTGAATCTCAAAGCCCAGCACAAGTAGCAGCCATCTCAGATTGCTCTATAGCTCAGACAGGGTGACCCTAGGTAAAACACAGATGAGGGCTGACCTTGGCCTGCACGACACAGGAAACCCCAGGGCCAGTGCCCAGTGGACAGCTACAGACCACACTGGAGCACCACCACCCTGCCCCTGCACAGCTGATCCTCCACAGAGGGCAGAGGTTGGTGGTCAGTGGTCACAGCCAGGCCTTGCAGCTGACTGGCCTGGGCAAATCCCTCCCATTGATCTGCCAACAGTAATCAAGGCTGAACTACAAGAGGAGGGACACATGTCCTCAGTCCACAGGAAAGGCATACCCCAAGTACTCAGCTTGGGTGTTAGGGGAGGCTGTGCTACTGGACCCTACAGGACACCTACTACATTAGGCCACACTATAAGGCATGGAGTCAAAGCAGCTCTATCTAATACATAGAAACAAACACAAGGAGGCTGCCAAAACAAGGAGACAAAGAAACATGGTCCAAATGAAAGAACAGATCAAAACTCTGGAAAAAGAGCTAAACAAAATGGAGACAAACAATCTATCAGATGCAGGGTTCAAAACACTGGTTATAAGGATGCTCACGGAACTTAGTGAGGACCTCAACAGCATAAAAACAATCCAGTCAGAAACAAAGGATACACTAACTGAAATAAAGAACAATTTACCAGGAAACAACAGTAGAGTGGATGAAGTCAAGAATCAAATCAATGATATGGAACCTAAGGAAGCAAATAAACAACCAATCTTGGTCCTACAGCCAAGATTGCTCTACCCAGCAAAGCTACCATTTAAAATCAAAGGGCAGATAAAGAGCTTCCCAGACAAGAAAAAACTGAAGGAGTTCATCATCACCAAACCATTATTATATGAAATGTTAAAGGGACTTATTTAAGAAAAAGAAGAAGATCAAACCATGAACACTAAAATGGCAAAAAAATACAAATCAACAATTGAATGTAAAAAACAAACGAGGCAAATAAGAGGAACAGAGACAGAATCATAGATACAGAGAGCATTTTGATGGTTGCCAGATGGGAGGAGGGTATTGGGGAGTCGGTGAAGAGGTGAGGGGATTAAGAAGTTCAAATAGGTACAGAACAGCCATGGGGATGTAAAGTACAGCACAGGAAATGGAGTAGCCAAAGAACTTACATGCATGACCCATGGACGTGAACAATGGTGGGGGTATTGTCTGAGGGAGTGGGGGTGCTGGGTAGAAGGGGGGTAAAGTGGGGAGATCAGGACAACTGTAATAGCATAATCAATAAAAAATAATTTGAAAAGGAAAAAAAGAATACAATCCCTCCAGCCACTGAGGGACAATCTCTGCTCGTAGTTGGCCCGCCCTCATGTTCTGTAGAGTGTACTATTGCTTAATAAATCTGCTCTCTCTCATTCTGCTATTAAAAAAAAAAAAAAAAGAGTACAAGTGAAATGTGAAATATGAGTAAAACTAGTGGATTGTTTATTACATTGCAATAGTATATAAATGTATAAAATCAAGTTATACTCCTTAAACTTATACGATATCAATTATATATCAATTTTTTTAAAAAATGAGTCAAATAAAATAACAAAAGGTAAATTAAAGTATTTTGAATGGAATGAAAATGAAAACACAACGTATCAAATTTGTGGGATGCCACCAAAGCTATGATTTTCAATCATGTGCTGCAAGAATTTTTAAAACATGCAATACCTGACTGATTTAGTCAGGGGTACTGACCTCTTTTCCCTTAGATTCCCAAATTTAAAAAAATGACAATAGCCAACAACACAACAACAGCCATCCATTGTGAATGTCCCATCCTGAACCATAAATATATAGGTCACATAATGAAACTGCATCTTATTGATCATGTCACATAATAAGGTTGGGTCTGATTGGTTAATTCTTGGCACCAGAAATCCTTATAAATAAGTATAGGCACCCGATTTTTTTTTTTTTAAATCACTTTGGAGCAAAAAGGATAAGTAATTACTTTTTTTTTTCTTTTGGTAAATCAATCAAAATTATACCTATGTTTTCTGTCACATCAGCAAAAAATATATTTTCATAATATTAGTTTATCGGGCCATGAAATAAAAAAAGGTTGAAAACTGCTGCACTACAGGAGTATTTGGGGGGAAATTTACAATGAACACATTAAAAAAGAAGATCTCAAATCAATGACTTCATCTGGCACCTGAAGAAACCAAAGAAAGAAGAGCATATGGAACCCAAAGTAGAGGGAAATAATAAAGGTCAGAATGGAAATCTATAAAATCGAAAACAGAAAAACAAGAGGAAAGAAGTCAATGATAAATTGATCATAGTGATGGTAGCACACTACACTATGAACATATTATAAAAAAAATGAAATGTACACTTCAGGCGAATTATATATGTAAATTATATCTACATATATAATTCACTTCTCTATAATCTAAATATAGCTATAACTTCAAAAAAATCATTTGCAAAGGTCTATGACCTCTTAAAGAATGTCTCTTTCGTTCTGATCAAATAAACAACATTCTACAGATTTCGTAACCACCAGTTTAAACGTCAATCATCTTTTAAAATCAGACACATGACTCAAAGAATTCTTGTATAATATAAAGCAATACATTCTTTTCTCCTACTGGTTTATTTCCCAGCCAGACCTGTTACAGTAAATCTTGTCATAAAAAGATAGTTATGATCTGGCAATAGGATTCTATGTTAAGAAATTATTTTAAAAGTATAGCACATCATTAGTTTCCCATTCACCATGAAATGAATGAGCTCATTTCACCAATAATAAACCAAGGGACACAGCATTTAGGTAATTCCCCCAGACCCCTCAGACTTCTAACACACAGTCCCATCATTCTGTTAAGGAGCTTTTTTCTATGTTCTCTCTTACCTGGTTTCAAAGGTGTGACAATGGCTTGCTGAGGATTTGTCTTTCTCAAAGGAGTTTTGTCAGGAAAAAGCCCTGTCCCATTCTTCCCGGGAAACTTAATCTCCAAATTGGCCCTCTCCTCTGTGAAAAGGTAAGAGTGTCATCATCTAAACAAGTAAAATAAGTCAGTACCATGCACTTAAAGTAGGTCCTAAAATGCCCCCTACTAGTACACTTCTAATTCATTTGGCAAGTGCAAGCAAAGTTCTAGTGATTAAAAAAAAAAAATACACACTATACCTCAGAGATAGAGACTGAAAACTATCACTAAAACCCTGGCAACACTGAACAATGTATTAAAAAAAAGAAGTACAGACTCTGCACTGTGAACAGCTCCTTGTCTTTGCTTGATGCACATTTAGGACCGTACAAGCATGAACTGGCCTTATCTCCCACCTAAACACATCATGTTCCTTCTAAAGGAAACTGTAACCACCGAGCTCTGCAGGGCTTGCAAGGGACATCTTATAGTCTGAGTTGACGTTCTTCTTCAGCTGGGACGGTGAGAGGGGAATGTGGGGTATTTGAGGAAGAAACAGAGCTAGGCTCTGAGCAGAAATTTTATCTTAGGGTTCTGCTGTGCCCAAAAGTCAGCACAAGGTAGTGAAACACCTGCTCTACCAACAGTCTGCTGATAGACGGAAATGTCACGAATGTGGTGAGCCCCAGAACAATGGACATGTAACACTGATTGCAACTGTGTAAACAAATGTGATTATTTGGAAGAAATTACAAAGTAATATATTAGAAGTAAGGTGAATTTGAAAAAATAGTGGGATTAATATTTTTCTTTCAAACTGTATTTAATAGTTTTGTTATACTTGTATTTCCTTTTTGTTTTAAAGAAAAAAATTAGAAAAAGATTGCAGACAACTCAACCATTTCCTCAGGGTTTCTGTGGAGCAAGGTCATGGGAAGACGCCTGCAGGGCAGCTGGCCCTCTTGTCTACCTTTCCTCCTACACCACTTCCAAGAGACCTCTCCTCTCGGGATCCCCAGTGGATACCACTGAAGTCCTTTTCCAAGAGAATGGCACATGCCCTCACATTTGGACTCTTCATTATCAGTGCTAAGTACAGTTGCAATGGAATCATTTTTGCCCCCCATCAATACTGATTTATCCTTATTAAGGAATAAAAAGGACATGAGAGAAAATAAAATGAAGCAGTCCCAGCAACTACTATCCTGACACATCACTGGTCTCACATATTATTCCAAAGTAATGTAACAATATAACCGTTATTTACTGTTGGCCCGGTGTCAGGGTTTTTGCCATATCACATGACCCAACATCAGGCAATCTTATCTCTGTTTAGGGACAGAGTTCTGAGTAGCATAATCAGTCCATTTAAAAATGAATTGGAGCCTAGGCTCGTGTGGCTCAGTGGATTTAGTGCCAACCTGCGAACTGAAAGGTCACCGGTTCTATTACCAGTCAGGACAGATGCCTGGGTTGTGGACGAGGTCCCCAGAAGGGACATGCAAGAGGCAACTGATTGATGTCTCTCTCTCACACTGATGTTTCTCTCCTTCTCTTTCTCCCTCCCTTCCCCTCTCTCTAAAAATAAGTAAATGAAGTCTTTTTAAAAAAATGATTGGGGAGGGTGTAGCAAGCAGGAGGGGAACGTAGTTATAAAAGAGCAACACAAGGATCCTTGTGATATGAGAACTATACAATATCTTGACTGTGGTGGTAGATATATGGATCTATGCAGGTGATAACATTGTATAGAACTTAATACATATAAACAAAGATGAGTTCAAGTGAAATGGGAAATCTGAGAAAGACTGGTGAATTGTATCAATGTCAATATCCTAGTTTTAGTAACATACTGGATGCCCAGTGACAAGAAGAGCAAGTTTTTATGTGGCTGCCATCATCATAAGGAAATATGGATTTCTGGATTTTCCCATCTGTCCCTAAAATTTAAATATTTGCCATTCTTAACTGCAAAATAACATTGATTTATACTGATAGTCAATTTCCAAAATACTGAGCACTTCAATTATTTCTCTCATAGCATGGATGATAAAGTATCTTGGTAGAGACAGAAATTTATATTTTAGTTATTTTCTTGCAATCCTTTAAAAAAAAAAAATCCTCAGAATAAAGCAAGCCATTAACCCTTAAAATGGCCAGAAAAAGCAGATACTTACCAAACCAAGTATCTATGTTTTGGGTGTCTTCCTCATCACCCAAAGATGTAAAATTGATGAAGTCCGTGGGAGCATCATAGGAGTAAGAGGCTTTAACCTGTGACATTGTCCCCACCTTGGCACAAAAGGGCAAGTTTTTCCAAACATTAGTGTCATTTTTCTCAACAGTTCACCTTCTAAGAAATGGTTCAAAAACTTGACTACACATGCCTTACTTTGCAAATCAAACTGAATTAACTGTTCTTTCCAGTAATTTGCAGATACTCCTTGAGGTAAATATGGTAGAATTAAATAGAGGTAAAGTTTGAGTACCTACAACATGCCATGCACTATGCTAGATGTCTTACGTTCATTATTTTATTTTCCCCTCAATATACAGTTTTCTCATCCAATTTACTCTGTCTCAAACAACCTAATTTCTGAACCACACCATTAAATTTTATACCTACCAAACAAAATCCTACTCATCATTCAAAATCCAATTCACTTCTCTATAACCTTTTCCCAATTTCTACCTATGCTACATAATTGTTGCCTCTCCAAAGCCACAGTGCTTTGTTTACCATCCAATTTTATATTAGTTAACTATGCAAGTGTCTCTCCTAGTAGACTATAAGTTCCTAGAGACAAGAATGGATTTTAGACCTGACAGATGAGGCTCAGTTGGTTGGGCGTTGTCCTGCAATGTGAAAGATCACTGGTTTGATTCCTAGTCAGGGCACACACTTGGGTTGCGAGTTCAGTCCCTGGATGGGGCACATGCAGGAGACAACAGATTGATTTCTCTCTCACATTGCTGTTTCTCTCCCTCTCTTTTTCCCTTCGTTCCCTTCTCTAGAAATAAATAAAACCTAAAAAAAATCAAACAAAAAACCCCCAGGATGATTAATTTTAAAAAATAGTGGATTTAACTCATCTGTGTATACCTCATCCATCACGGTGCCTAGAACATTATCTTATACATAGTAAGAGCTCAATACAGTTTTGCCAAGTATAGATTTTTTTCATTATTTTCATGAAAATATTATTCCTGGGCATGAAGAAAAAGAATTAAAAAATATATACATATATAAAAGGTACAACATATAGATTAAGTAAAAGAAACAAGCCAAAGATATGAGCCAATCCTGTGTACCAAGCTCTATACTCTGTCCTGCGGAAACTTGTGTAGGTTTAAAGTCAGCCTCTACTCCAGCCCTGTATGGCTAAAAAAATATTTGGAAGTAGACTGAAAAATAGCCTAAAGGCCACATTCACTGGCAAATAGTTTCCTATGAAACCCAATGAGCCATTTGTCTTCATCCAGGGAACAACATGTACTTAAGATATTCTGTATCTTGGAAGAGAAGTAGATACCAGTAATCACTTGCATACATGTTTATCAACTTAAGTATCTTTGTTTAAGCCCTTATTTTATTATAAAAATACATGTTCATTAAAAAATTAGAGCACAAAAAAAGCTGTTATTTTTTTTAAAATCTACAATGTCATGCTATTCCAGCCTCTCCCCCACCCATGTATATAAACTTTTAAAAAGTGTGATCATTTGACATTTTGCATATGCTTCCCATATTTTCATGTCAATAAATATCACTATATCACCAGTTGGTGACTGTACCATAGTTTACTCATCCTCTATATTTAGGCTTTTCCCAATATTTTCACTTGAAATATACTACTAGAAAAATATCCTTGGAGCTGAATTTTGGTACACATTCATAATTCTTCCCTTAAGATAAACTCTTAAAGATAGACTTGCTGGCTCGATACATACTGTGAAAATGCTCCTCAGAAGAGTACTACGCACTTACATTACCAGAAACGTGTGCCAGTTCCCTGAACTGTCACCAATTCTAGGCACTGATAGCCCTCAGTGTTCATTTTCTCTGTATTATACCACTACTCCTATACTCTGAGAACTCTTAAAATTAGTTACATCCAACTTCATTGCTGCTCAGTGGTTTGGCCAGCATTTCATTAGCTTCTCTCAGTGGCCTGGGATAATTCAGAAGCTGCTTCAGTTCCTCAGACACATTTGTTCTGAGATACTTGGGTTACACAGTGACATCAGTCTATACACTAAAGAATGTTGTCTTCCCATGGTCTCCTATGTAATCAGAACTCCACAAATACCTTTAAATAATGCCCCAGCTGGGGAACTTAGTGTAGAAACATGACATTTTGGAATTGGGAGGAATCTTAGATAACACATAACTTTTGCAGTTTACAGATAAAGTTTAATTGATGCAAAAAGGGGTCCTCTAATATCACACAATACTAATGATCATGGTAAAAAGTTACCAAAGTAACATATGGCACACATATGTTACTTGTATGTGCCAGGTACCATGAAATACCAAATATGTACTATTCCTAATATTCTCAACAACTCTGCAAAGCAATAATTATCATCGCAGTCCCAGAAGGGGAAGCTGAAGGTAAGAGAGATTAAATGACTTCCCAAACCCTGACTAGTGTGGCTCAGTGCATTAGGCATCATCTTGCAAATTGAAAGGTAGCTGGTTCGATTCCCATTTAGGGCACATGCCTGGGTTTCAGAGGTTGGGGGCATGTGAGAGGCAATTGATTGATGTCTCTCTCACAGATCGATGTTTCTCTCTCTCTTTCTTTCTCCCTCCCTTCCCCACCTCTCTAAAAAATAAATAAATAAAATGGTGTGCCCAATATCGCAGTTACGTAAAGGTAGAATTAGATCTAGGACTGAGGCTCCTGACTTCAACACAATGTTCTTTCCATATCATTCTTCCCTCTCACCCTGTGAATTACAGAAGCACATTAATGCAGCTAAGGTTTCTATTTTCATAGAAAGTAGTACTGTATTTATTTCCAAGTAGATCCATTCTCCATAGTTTTTTGCCCTAAATGGACAATTCTTTATTATCCTCATTCTAATATTTTCACTCTCCCTCATTTCTATTTTCAGTATTCAATTTAAGTCAATAAGCTATTTCTTAGCAATCCACTCATATTATACACTTGCTAAGGGCCATAAGGTGTGGGCTTGATATCGAAGCTCCTTTCTTGCTAATATTCAAGGATGAGACACCAAGTCTCACATAAAAAGTAGAAGATCTGGTCTCAGACACAAAGGAATTTAAATCTAGACAGTAGCCAAAGTCCTATATTCTCAATAAATAAGATAGTATACAATATTTAAATTACATAGTATGAACTTTAAAGAGAATTAGATATTAACATAGCTTAAGTCAAGCCACTGTTAAATATTTTTCATTGAACATCATCAAAACAGTAGGAAGCACATTACAAAGGAAGTTGACTGCCACCCTCCAAGCTTGGGAGTAGCCACAGGACAGTTCTGGCCAAAGAGAAAATTAAGAATCTGCTATAGGATTCATAGGAAAACTCTTACATTCCTGATACAGCTACAGCACCTGTTCCTACCCTTTCCTTTCACCTCCCTTCTTGCCTTGAAAGCAGATATAATGGCTAGAACTATAGCAGCCATCATGTGCACATGAATGGATGGCTAAGAGTAGATACTGACCCTGACATTACTGAGCTAGTGGTCACTGATGATCAAATATCAGCAGCCACCTACCTCCAGACAGTAATATCATTTTTGCATAAGCCATTATAGTTACGTTTTCTGTCATTTATAGCCAAAAATAATCCCAACAAACGCAGAAGTCCAGAATTCTCGCCCTGTCTCTGGCATTTACTAGATGTATATGGCAATGGGCAAGTCACTCTACCTTTCTGCCTACCTACTTCCCATAAACAAATGAGATTTCAAATGCTATGAAACATACAACCATTAAATATTATCACCGCTTTTGATTTCCGGGTACCTTTCTTCTCCTTGACCAAGTTTCTGTTCAAAGGACCCTTACTGAAAGATTCCCCAGTGACTGACAGCAGTTAAAATTCCCCTTCTACAAGGAGGAAGTTTTCCTGTTCTTATGAACAAACATGCTGGAAGACATGGGAAAATCTTGGATTCCCATGATCTTAATGCCTAACCCAGGTCACTGGGAACCCTTCCCAGGCAGGGATGTAATGAAGACAACTAAAGCTGGGGGAGGGAAGAGGCAGGAATGTAATTTGCAGCAACCCCACTTAGCCTCCTAAAAATCATGATTCCACCAAAGCATGCTGCTGAAAACCACCTGGAAAGTATTCAAATTTAACCCTTCATATCCCTTTTTCTTTTTTTAGTTATGGAGCTACACTGCTAGACTCTTTGAAGGGCAATTTGCATGTTTATTTTTGAGAGACGTTATCAAACATAAAAATTTATCTAATAAGTATGCATTTATGCATATATGTAAGTATAAGAACGTTCACTATAGAATTGTGCATAAACGCCAAAAAACTGAAAACCCAAATTCCACCAATAAGAGATTTGTTGAATAAATTATGGCACAAATATATAATAAAATATTAAGTAACTTTAGTATTAGGTAACTTTTCATATGTGGTTATATGTGCAGAATGAGCTCTAAGAGCTATTAAATAAGAAAAACAAAATGCAGAAGTGCATGCTCCCATTCATGTTAAAAAGAGGGAAAAAGGTGATATATACTTATTTATACTCTTATATGTACATAGACTACTGTGGAAGGAGACTCAAAAATGTTAACAGTATTTTAGTCTAGGAGGAGAGCCTGGAGTTCTGGGTCAGAAGAAAGCTTTTATACTCTTAGAGTATGATTTATTATACAAATGCATACCTTTTCAGTTCAAAGAACTAATTAAGCAGTATTTATTTCCCCCTAAATCTATGTTTATAGGGCTTTCTGAAATTCTTATTAAATATTCTTAAATCTAGCAATAACTGTTAAAACTCTCAATTTCTGGAAATAATGCTCTCCATTTACATGGTCTATAAATAGGCTACTAACTTTCACATATCCAAATGTTATACATTCTCCTTCTGCTGTAATGTTTCTGTATAAAGATAAAAATGTTCCTGCCCTGGCTGGTATGGCTCAGTGAATTGAGTGCTGGCCTGAGAACCAAAGGGTCATCGGTTCAATTCCCAGTCAGGGCATATTCCTGGGTTGCAGGCCAGGTCCCCAGTAGGGGGCGCTCAAGAGGCAACCACACATTGGTGTTTCTCTCCCTC